TTCCTGCTGTAAGCCCCATAAAAGTCCAGTCCCGTTGAGCTTCCACGCGGTTTCTCCTCAGACCCTTCCCCTGTCCCCTCTGTGGATCTGATCAAGTTCTGCCCGGGAGTGATATCTCAATAAAGCCTGTTCAGCGGCCCTTTTAAATCTGCCTCCTTTGGTCGCAGCCTGCCCCGCCTGATCTGACAGTTTTCTCTTATGAAGAGCTTGGGCGTTCTTTCAGCTAGGCTGTGACAGTCTAGATGGGCAGCAGCATTGTGTGCTGCTCTCCCTCAGAGGACAGCTGGCATTATGGTATGTAAAGTGCCACACAAAGCACTAGGGTCAATATAAAAAATTCATCAGAAATGATGTCATAAAGAAGCATATGCCTAACAGAAGAGGTACGAGGAGAACTCAAGGTAGAAGTCAAGAGAGAGTAAAGTGAAGAACCGTCAATGCTACAGAAACAGATAAAAAGCTGGGAAAGCATAGTCCATCATTGAGGGACTCTTATTTGACACAACAACAAGTGTCAGGGTTGGTCTCCCAGTTCGCCATCTTGTCCTACGAAGCCACGCTGCCTTCCACCATGGACTCGAGTTTCCTGCTGAACTCTCAAAACCTAGACAACTGATCTTAAATTGTCATCACAGTTTCATTCTGTCTATGCTTCATCTGGGGTGCCCTGAAGACACTCTTCCTTCCTACTGCACAGGGCCACACAGGAAGCCATGCCACACACAGAAGACTCACTCCTGGTCCTGCAGATGTCGGCCTGAAATGAACACAGGCTCTGACATGACCAGGACGAGGGTCGGGAGTTCCAGCTCTGTGCCAGCCACGCTCCACAAAGACCCCAGGGTTCAAGGCCCGAGAGTAGGTTCACCCGGAGCTCCAACCAGACCCAGCCTTCTGCCACCCTCCAGCCCCTCCCCAGGTACGGGATCCTGGAAGGCGTCTTGCAGTCCCAGGTCGCCAGGGAGCTGCACTCTAAGCCCACTCTAGACAAGGGCCATCCAACAAGACACACAAGGGCCGTAACAGAAGCGGAAGGGGCAGGAATGGAAGAAGCCAGTCTAAGAACGTGATCGTTTCAACTTAGTTCCACTAATGACAGAACTGTAAAAATCATCAAACTCCAAAATCAGTTGAAAATACAATGAAACAGCAACAACAGAAATTAATGTGTCTTATTTACCTCAGCTATTCTCAAATTCAAGCTCCATGAAGGCAGGACTCTGCCTACTCTGCTCACTGCTTGATCTCCCACAGAAATCAACCTAACACAGCTCGCCAGATTTAGTAGTAGATGCTTTTTTAGCCACTTACTTTTTCTTCAGGTTTTCTTTCTATTTTTCCCTATATTTTACTCTTAATACTAGGTGGAACACATAATATTGTATGCTGACTTCTTACATGCAATGATATGACTGTGTATTAACATTAAGTACCAACTTACTGAGTTCCATTTTCCTGAATAACAAAGAGAGGTAGAAGGAATTTCATATTAATCTAGTTCCATACTGTCATGTTCCCTTCTAACTTGGCACAGTATGTCATTTCTTAGATTTAGTTGTCATGAAATTTTTTTATGAACTGTTCTCAAAAACACACAGCGTTTGCTCTCAATATTTGCGGTTAGGAATTAATGATATTAGGGCTAGAGTTGTGGCTCAGTGGTAGAGCACGTGCCTAGCATGTATGAGGCCCTGGGTTCGATTCTCAGCATTGCATATAAATAAATAAAGGTCCATCAACAACTAAAAGAATATTTGGGCTGGGGCTCAGTGGTAGAGCACTCACCTAGCACATATGAGGGACTGGGTTTGATCCACAGCACCACAAAATGGTAAATAAATAAAATAAAAGTATTGTGTCCATCTACAACTAAAAAATATTTTTAAAAATAATAATTTTTTATTATTGATATTAAAAAAATTTCATGACAACTAAATCTGACATACTGTGCCAAGTCAGAAGGGAACATGACAGTATGGAACTAGATTAATATGAAATTCCTTCTACCTCTCTTTGTTATTCAGGAAAATGGAACTCAGTAATATCATTGCATGTAAGAAGTCAGCATACAATATTATGTGTTTCACCTAGTATTAAGAGTAAAATATCGGGAAAAATAGAAGGAAAAACTGAAGAAAAATTAAGTGGTTAAAAAAAAGCATCTATACTAAATCACTTCTCTGAAAGTTCCCCAGCTTAGTGGATCTGAGAATAAGGGTTTTTTTCTTTATCAATATCTCACTACTAATAAATTATTTCACATGACTATGTGGAACTATCAACATTATCAAATTTTAAATGTTAAGAAAATAACAATATAAAAGCTGGTTTTGGATTTTGTTTTTGTTTAAAGTAAAAAAAAAGATTTTGCGTATCTTTGCTTATATTAATATTTCATCTCATCACATAGCTACTTCTATCTCCTTCAAAATACCACAACTCCTTGAAAACAATGGTCCTCTGTCCCACTGTCTGGCTGTTAAATTACAACTATACATGCCCTGATAGAATATGTTCCTATTAAAATTCCTTGAAGGACCTATTTAAGAAGTCAGTTGACTTAGACAATTTTCTGCTTCTGCAACAAAATACCAGAGAATGGGGAATTTATAAACAAGAGAGGTTTATTCAGTCCTCCATTCTGGGGGGTGAGAAATCCAGGATGGAGGGGCAGCATCCGGTGAGGGATTTCTTACTGGTTAATGTGGTAAAAGGGCAAGCAAGTGTAGACACAGAAAATATAGGATGGAAAGACAAAGTGATTAGCACCCACTATCAAGAATAGCACCTACTGTCAATCAAAAAAAAAAATTCTGGTGCGGTTTTCACACACAGCTCTAAATTCTTCTTCCCTTCGATTAGATACTAACTGTAAATTACACAAGAAAAAGAAAATATGAGGAATAACTGAGTAAGAGAAAAATTTCTTTTAGAAAAATCAATGATACTATAGTGAGAGGTATGCTTAAGTATTAGAACATCAAAAAATATATAGTTATCAGGATTTTAAACATTTAGGTATTAGAAATTTATATATGCATTCCAATAAAATACAAAATTATATAATTTTAATTAATTAGGGTCTTCTTGAATTCTTTGAAAGTAATTGTTTCAGGTGTCACCCAAATAGTTTATGAACTTACTGATGACAAACAGATTAAAACTCAGGTCTTCACTATTGATGGTTATCTTGAGAAAAAGTAATAAAAGATGTTTTTGTGTAGAGACCATAGTCTCCTAAAAGGGAAAGTTTCATTTTCAAGACTCCCTCACTGGCTCAATCACAGTGACTGCACAGTGGACCGGCTCCATCACACCTGCCATCTCCCTTCCGTGCCACAAGCATTAACTCAGTCATCCTCATAGACTGGTGAATGATGTAACAGTTTTAAGCCTGATTCTGATGACCAAAAGACGCACCCTGACTTCTACTGGACTGCACTAACAGATTAAAAGGCCAAGAGTCCTATACTTCTCAAAAGCAAACTCTGTGAGTTTAATAGCCCCTCCCAAGTTTAAGTTCTACACTATCATTCCTCACTCTTAGCCACACTGTGAACCAGCCCTCACTCTCCAACTTCACTGCACACCAACTTCTATATCACTCCCTTTTCATCAAGTCCTTAAAATAAACCTATTATTAAAAATATGGAGAGAGATCCTTCAAATGCCACTTAACTAGCTTGGACAGTTTACTTCACTTTCCACCCCTCGGTTTCCTCATACGTAAACGGGGATGACCTCACAGAATATTATGAAGATGAAATGGTTTAATATTTATAAAACTCTTAGAACAATGACTAACATACTGTTTGCTATAATTACTAAATATTATCAATATACCTTCAAACTTTATGGATTTCATGACTCTAGATTTGAGGAGACCATAAAAATAAGCATCTCCCTTTTCAGAGCTACTCAAAACTGTTCCAAGTCCTCCTGGAGACACACTCATACGAACCTCCAGTGCACAGTGTTCCATAATCCTTGGGGCACAAACTTTTACCTGCTAAAGCCTAGTTAATATGGGGAGAAAAAGGTGTGTGGTAAAATGAGTCACTCAAGTAGAAGGGAGGCAATAGCCAGCACACAATAACCAATTGCCACTTTCACAATGACCAAGGAAGTGACAGGCAAAAATCATATTTTCAAGAAATTATGTTTTCTTGAGCAAATTTTGAATCTGCAGCCACTTCAAAAAGCAACTTGCTTAGATCAGTCCACTCACCATGAACAAATGCTTAACTAAAATTAGGAGGAAAAATGTTCTCTGCACCACTCACTAAAAGAACTAAATAATCCCAAATTTTCACTATTTTATAAATATCACATAAATTTATAATTCAACTTTTCAATAAGTTAATATGGGAATAATCCCAAAACCACATTAGCAAATTTTCTTCAGACTCTCAATGCCTATGATGCCTTTTAAGGAGAAATTTTCATGTAAAAAATAATATGCTATAAACAAAAAGGTACTGACTGGCTTCTACACTGAGAGTTCTTCTACTTCAGCTCGTAGTATAGATAGTTCATCCTCCCTGAAAATGAGGCCTGGTTTCCAGGCAGCTAACTGTTCTTCTTTATCGTAAGAACAGACTCCCCTTACCACTGACAGTTACTGTTAGAAACGGAACATTCTGTTATTAAACAAGAACAGTTAAGACTTACTTTTAATCTATATACTGTGAAATACAAAGTTCTGTTTCTTCCCATACTAAAATAAACAGTTGTACTCACAACCACCGATTAAGCCCAACTGCACAGCACTAGAAAAAGTACCTCAAAAAAAAAAAACTAGCTAAAAATCACTAATTGCACAGAAACCTAAACACTATGACATTATTTACTGTTACCTTTTGAATGCTTCTGCTGGGTTCCTCTCACATTCCCCAGGCTGTAACAGGCTTTGAACGGCTGGATCTCGTAGCTTGTCCTCATATCCTTGGAGTAGTCCACTGCGGCATATCTGGGCAACCAGACCTCTAACGAACCCTCCAACACACAAAGTATCAGAGTCCTGGGCTTTGCAGAAATGAAAAGCCAAAGCCTGGCGATGCAAACCTCTCTGCAAGCTTGTAGGTGAACTTGGCCATAAGAGTTCAGTACACAGGGCTGTCTTGCCACTACCAGGCCCTCCTACCAACAACACACCCCAGGCAGCTGCCTTTCCTGAGACAGCACCAGCATTATTCCCAGAATTCATCACAAGGGATGGTGTGTTGACAGCACTACTGCAGCAGCTGGTTTTCTCCTGGAGGCAATGCTGAAGCTTGTGGAAAACCCACTCCCTACAGTAAAACTGCTTCCCTTGCAGTAAACTCGTTTGGGCCATTTTGCAGACTTTTTCTTCCCAAGGATTAGTCATAATAGGTTTTCTATCTTCAACACTGGCTAGGAGCTAGGTACACCAATATAGTCTTTATATCCATTTGGACATAACTTGCATTTGAATGATAAAAGTAACCAGTTACAGAAAAATTCAACAGTCAGAATTTATCAATACAATGTGCATGACTGTATTTGCTTCTATATTCTTGATTAGCAGAGAATATATTAATTGTTGAACAGATGTAAAAACAACTGGTTCCAAAGCTTGCCAATAGTTTTTGTATATTTTGATGGGTCATATAGCTCCATCGTTATGTCTGGAGTTTATGTGACTGTGGAGATTTCAAGCATACAGATGAAATAATAAATCTGGAAAACTCAAAAAGAGAAAACTCAGTCTTCCAATATATAACAAATGCTTCTCCAGACTCCAAGTGTTAACTGTGTGTATGAAAATTAGATGTAGAAAAGCTGTCCATTATCTTAAATGTCATCAAAGAGACAATATTTATATAGTACATAGGTAGCTCTGTATTTCTTGTTGAAGGATGATCACTCCAAGGACTAGTTCTTGCCAGTTTTAGGCATCTGGGCAACTGCGAGGGAACTGATTCAGATTATCTCTTATGTAGCAGAAATGACAAACCACTGTTTACACTTTCTTAATCCAAAGCATTCATAAAAGGCATTTTTCAAGACAGCAGATTCTTAATAAACGGGTCCCTGGGTCTTAAGATGTCCAGGTAATCCACAATTTCCATAAGTAACTAAAACGAAACAAACAAAAATATCTTAGTGCAAAATACCATATATTAAAAGCTTATTTATAATTCACCCATTAATCTCAAAAATCCATACACCTCATCTCTGGCACTTTCAAGAAGTTGGGACACTTACCCCTCAAAGATACTCGTTCCATTTTCCTTTTGCATTATTTTCTTCTATGGTTGTAATTCCCAAGCAGCCGATTTTAATAATTTAATATCGATTTTTGAAACCTTTTCACCCTAGAAAGGGAGAGAAAGAGACTTGATGCACATGGAGTGACACCCTTCATTTTGGCCAGGAGGCTCTGAGGCTAGCTTGGTGGAACAGCGCCTCCAAGGAAGCGCTCCCAGCTCGCCCGGCACGGCAGTCAGGGGCTGTCTACTGGACTCGCCGCACTTCTTTGTTGGTAGTTTGCAAAATCGAGGAAAAGAACACCAGGGTTGCGGCTGGATGGGAACTGGTTAACAGAAAAGGGAAGGCGACGGTCCCTTCCACGAATGATAAATCAAACACACTACAGCGTGACTCCTTCCCCGCGCTGCACCAAGGGCGACGCGCAGGACGGGGTCGGACGCCACCTCCTGCTCCGCGCAGCGGCGAACTCCTCCCGAGCACGGGCGCGGGGCAGCGGCGCCGGCGGGGCAGCCCGAGTCCAGCTCGGCCGGGAGACAAAAGGGTCCGGGTCCGGCGCCCGGGCCGCCGCGGCTGGCCGCCCGGCAGAGGCCGCGCCCCGCACCGCGGTCCCCCGGCCCGGCACGCCCGCCGCCGCCCGCCCCGCCCCTGGGGTGTGTCCGCGGGAGGGTGCGGGGTCCTCGGAGCCCCCGCGAGGGCCGCGGCCAGCGTCCAGCGCGGCGCCCCCAACCCGCCTGGCCCGCGGCGCGGGGCGCGCCGGAGCGGGGGTGGCGCGGCGGGGAGGCGGGTCTCCGCCAGCCCCGCCGCAGCCGCGCGCTGCCGACCGAGGGAGGGCCTCGCTCCCGCCGCCGCCGCCCCTGGGCACCGCGGCCCTGCCACCGCCGCCCCTCGGTACCTCGGGCCCCACCGCCGCCTCAGGCACTGGCTGCGCGAAACGCCGCCACCAGCAGCGCTCCCGGATCCGGCTGCAGCCGCCTCCTCTGCCGGCCTGGGGTGCGCTCCCAGCTGCAGATCCGCCTCTTGGCTCCCGGCGACGGCCAGCTCCAGCTGCCCCAGCAGCCCGGGCCGTGCCGCTCCCCACCCCCACCGGCCAGCGGCCGCCACCGCCGCCGTCAGGGCAGTGACTGTCTCGGGCAGCCGGGACCCGCCGGCTCCGCCCCGCCGCCGAAGCTCCGCCCCTAGGCCCCGCCCCGCCCTTTCTTCGCCCGCCCAGGCCCCGCCCGCCCTCGAGGCCCCGCCTCCTCCGTCCGACCTGCCTCACCCGCCCGACCAGGCCACGCCCCCGGCGTCGGCCCTTCTTAACTCGCCGGCGAGCGCCCCGCCCCCGGGGCCCTGCTAGCTTCGCTCGCCCGGGCAGGTCCCGTTGGGCTGCGCAGGCCCCGCCCCTGAGGCCTTTCCCCGCTTCCCTGGCGGCCCGTGCCCGGGCGTGCGCGGCCGCTGGGGACCCGCTGCAGCTCGGTGGGGGAGCCTTTCGGGGCGGGCGTCGGGGCTCCGCCTTTCCACGGGGGGCGGAGGACAGGGCGGTGGTGCGTTCTCGCGACCTGAGCTCTCGGTAGTCGCCGCCTCCCTCGGCCGCGAGCCTGCCTTTGTCCTGCGGGCCGCGTCCCTCCCTCGCTGCGCGCCTCCGAGGCCACTGGGCTCGTAGCCCCGCGCGGGCCTGGTCGCCTCTCCGTCCACTGAATTGCGGGGATGCTTTCCCAGCCCAGACCTCCACGAGGGATGGGCAGAGGGGGACGCTGCCGGGCCGCCGCCGCCCGCCCGTTCGGGACGCTCCGCTGCAGCGCCGCCCGCCACCTCGCTGCGTGCAGGAGGCGCCCGCTGTTCGCTCGCCCTGCGCCCGAGGTCTAGATCCCGGGTTTCTGTTGGGAAAATAGGTGTGTTGTCAACCGACGGAGTGGGAAACTAGTGCAGTTATTATTTTTATTGTTTTTGCTAAAATGAAAAGTTCTCCTATTTTCCGGTATGTTTCCCAAAATACCAAGCCAATCTCCCTGGTTTTAGGAATTTCAAAGTATAACAAGCATACATACGTAGAAACACAACCAAATAGACCTGCTTGTGCTTACTCTCCCATATTGCTTATTCATGGCATGAGGCTTAATTTTTAGCTTTAACTTATGTACCCTTAATTTGGTGGTTCTTTTAACAGAACACAACCAAAATGACAGTAAAGTTTAATTTTTGCATAATTAGATGAAAGTTGATTTTATGAAACTATAAATTATGATTTAAACAGCTTATTTTAATAGTTTTACTCGCACATTATAGTTGTACATAATGGGGGATTTGTTGTAACATATTCGTACATGAACACAATGTAACAATTTGGCCAGTAGCATTAACCAGTATTTGTCCTTTTTATCGCTTGCTCCCTCCCCCTGGTCCCTCCCCTCAACTGATATCTTATCTCAATTTATAGATTTACATGAGATTTCCCCCCCACACACGCACTTTTATTTTCCTTTTTCCTCTCTAGCTTTCACATATCTGAGAAAACATACCACCTTTGACTTTCTGAGTTTGGCTTATTTCACTTAACCTAAGTTCTCAAGTTCCATTCATTTTTTTATACATGCCATAATTTCATTTTTCTTCCTGGCTGAATAAAACTCCTTTGTGTATACATACCACATTTTCTTTATCCATTCATTCACTGATGGATGCCTTGGCTGGTTCCATGGTTTGGCAATTGTGAATTTAGCAGTTATAAACATGGGTATGCATCTGTAGCTGTAGTATGACTAATTCTTAAGGATAAATACTACGCAGTGGTTTAGCTGGGTCATATGGTGGTTCCATGCCAAGTCTTTTGAGGAACCTCCATACTAATTTTCCAAACTGGTTGTACTAATTTACAATCCCATCAACAGTATAAAAGTGTTCCTTTTTCTCCACCTCCTGTCCACCATTTATTATTGTTTTTATTCTTAATGGCTGATGTTCTAACTGGAGTAAAGTGAAATTTCAGTGTAGTTTTGCTTGCTTAAGCAGTTTTTAAAAATATATTATTTGTTCTAATTAGTTATACATGATAGCAGGATGCATTTTGGCACCTCATACGTAAATGGAGCAGTTTTAATCATGACTTAGTTTGCCATGCAACACTGATTGACTCCAGTTTCACAGTTGTCACTTTATATATGTTTACTGAAAATTTAAAATGAGAAATATGTATATCACATTTCATTTCCATTAAGCCACTTGCTAGTGTGATAATTAAAATAGTTCCTACCTGACGGGGAAATTCCAGAAACTTGGTTTGGTGGGCCTTTCTAATGATAACTATCCCCCAGCACGGAATACAGTTAATAGTAACATCAGCTACATCTAAGCAGTTAATAATCTTCAGCCCATCTAGAATTTTAATTTTTTACTTTAAATAAAATTTATTTCAGGGCTGGGGTTGTGGCTCAGTGGTAGAGCACTCACCTCGCATGTGTGAAGCCCTGGGTTCAATCCTCAGCACCACATAAAAATAAATAAATAAATAAAGGTATCCTGTCAATCTACAGCTAAAAAAATGTATATATCAAAAAATAGGGGCTGGGATTGTGGCTCAGCGGTAGAGTGCTCGCCTAGCACGGGCGGGACCTGGGTTCGATCCTCAGCACCACATAAAAATAAAGGCATTCTGTTGGGTCCATCTACACCTAAAAAATAAATATTTTTTTAAATAAAAATAAATAAAGTTTATTTCATTTTTTATTGCTTTTTGCTTTCCTCAATAGAAAAGCTTTAATAATAACAATTTTATAATACTTCTTTTTGTTAATTACCCGCATGCTAAAAATAGCATGAACAGAGTTCTTACTCCTGCTACTATTCACGTTGTTTAATCAGTTTCTTAGCCATCATTTTCTCCAATAGTAGGTACTGGCATTTTCTGAAAAATGCCTTTTTTTTTCATATGGCTTTCTTTATTTTTCTTTATAAGATTTCCTGAAATTATCTTCACAACTGCATAAATTTGAAGTTACTGACACCTTCAATTACTGCTTGTCTATAGAATCTTAAATCAAAAATTGTCCCTGTTTGTAGGAAGGTATCTACTACGTTCAAAGCAAACTCTGCTTAATATATTCTCAATTCTGGTTTCTTTATACTAAGAAGAACAAAATGTTCAGCTTAAATCTTTCCCTAGAAATTGTCTTTTTAAAATCCACTTAGAGCTATACATGTCAACATATATTTTTACAAGAGGAAGCTCAACATATATTTTAAATTTGTTTGCTTTGATGATCTTAAGCAAATTTGTAGACTGCACAGATTGACATCTCAATTTTAGCACATTTGTGTACAAAATATAGTTTGTTATTGTTGCGGTCTAGGGATGGAAGCTGTGGCCTCCTGTGTGCTAGTACTTGTCCTACCACTAAGCCATATCCCCAGCCCCAAATACAGTTTTATCCAATTAGAAGCAGCAGCTCCATCAAAAGATTCTCTCCACAAGTTCAAGTATCCCAAAGCACAATTATACATTTCAAAATCAGGTCTTTTATAAAGTTCATTCTCTTTTCATAGAGTACATTGATTTTCTTTCTTTTTTTTTTTTTTTTTTGGCAGAGATAAATTTCAATTTATTTGTAAGCTCAGTTTTCGGTCATTATAATACTTTAAAGCTGCTGAAGGTCAATAATCTGATTTTAGAGTGCCAATGATTTTGAATGAAAATGTAAAGGCTTTGTGTCAGTCCTCCGTTTAACTAGTAGGTCCCTAGGTTTACTCACAACAGAGTGCTTCCAGGAGCCTTCCCATCAGGCTTTCCGACTGGGCCACAGTGTGAAGAACTCTGTTCACGGCACAAAAGCATTCAGCATACTTGCTTCCTGCTCCGCCGTAGGCAAAACCATCTCTATTTCACATGTTCCAGACAAACCTCACGTGATTTTCCACATGTACCAGTGGGTCTCAGAAGTAGCAGCCCAGTGGGGCTCATGTGTGGGAAAGTGGCAGCAGCAGGCCACAGCATGCTAGGCGCTAGGCTGACACACAGAGTCCCAGCAGAGTGGCCTCCCAAGCTTCTCTGATTATGACCAGGCCCAGGACTGCTTGTAGGTGCAAATGTACCACCTCTCATATCAAGCCATATTTACTTACTTATTTTCAGATAGCACCCTGCACAGTATTCTAGTTACTTTGAATCTGGAAAGGTTCAAGAAGAAAGTTCTCACTGGCCATCTTTCCTATTTCCCCACAAATTTAAATTCTGGCCTCTCACACGCTATTAAACATGGCAGACGCTGGAACTAAAACAATGAATGTCTATCAAACTCATCCCAGATGATTTTAATGGTAATATTAATAAGAGTCTTATCTACACAAACACGTGCATTCTGTTAGTTATGTTGATTGGTCTTGAGGGAGACCTAGACCATGCAAAAGATTTGATTGGCATGATAAGTGTATTGATAGGGAAAGCCAGCTGTGTTGCTCTCTTAAATACTCTTTTAAAAGAATCCTTATTTAAATTTCACATTTTTTAAAAAATTAGGTGCCAGCTTTATGCAGTGCTGTTCTTGAAAGCATGTCTTAAAATAGTTTTTACTTATAAAATGTGAAAGAAAAAAGCCTCTCCTTCAAAAAATTAAAAGAACCCCCAAATAAGATTCATTTTGCAGAATTACCAGCTAAGCAAGATGAAGACTTGCTAGCTATGATTATCAAGTAGCTGATTACAACACTTTGCCTGTGTTCCTTAGACCCTACGCTAGAGCAAAAACTCAGTCAAACCCCAAAATTACACCTAGAGTACACATGATAACATGAATTCACATTCTTGTCCATTCCTTGTATACAGCAAGGAATTTTAAAAAGGAAATTAGAATCCTCTAATGTGTTGAGGGCCACAGCTTAGTTGGAATGACACCTGGCATTTTGCCAGAGGGAATGATTTGAAAGGTGACGCCAGGGAGCCATTGAGATGATGTTGGTTAGTTAAGCTGTGTATTCAGTTGTATATAGACCTTTGCTGTCCGGCAATAGGGCGGCTCTTGCTGCCTCGGTTGCCCGCTATTTTGGAGTTCCCGTTGAGTTCTGGAGGGCTTCCGAGA